GGGGGGGGATGAGAGCCCAGGGCTGGGGTGGGAGGCATCCAAAAATTTTATTGCTTGGGGCAGCAAAAAACCTAGAGCCGGCCCTGCCTGCCGGATATTTTCCTGCCAAGCTCCGGTTGTGTGCAGATGGGAAGGTGTTTTTTTTTTCTTTCATGCTGATGATGCTAAAGTTCTGTAGATAACATCGCTAAATAATGAGGCATAAAGGGAAGGAAGTTTAGCTGGTTTAGAAGAGAACACAGGGAAATCTGTTCTCCTGAATTTGTGTCAATCAGAATTTCACATGATCTAAACCTGAAAGTGCATTGTAACTCCCTGTATTCTGTTTTTCTCTTTCCTGAAGGCTGTTTTGTCACATACTTGGATATTAGTTTTTGTTTGACGGGGGGGGGGGGGAAGTTGCATAGTTTTATTGTGGAAATTTATGAGACAAATGACTATTTGGCACAATATCCCTTCATTGTTTTTGCTTTTTCGTCACTCTCTGCCATGAGATTTTAATATTGGTTGAACAGTTCATCCGTTAGTTATAAATAACTGATTTTCAAGTAACTGCTGACACAAACACTGATGGGCACATGTGAAAGTCATGGAGAGGCAGAGCCTGAAAAGGGGAAAGAACGGTAACTGCCTGAGCCCAGGGCTGAGGTAATACCCCAGGTAGGAGTGGGAGAGCATGGGAGGTGGGGGATACAGAGCTAGGAAACTGCAGGGTTTGCTCCTGAGAGCCAGATGGCCAAGGCTGAGAACTGAGAACTCGCTGCACTGCAGCTAGAAAGAGACAGGAAGTATCTTAGAAGTTTTAAGTGACTTTGTCACGTTCTCCAAAGGGAATGACGGGGTGACCCCCGGATTCCTGAAAGAATGAGACTGAGCAGAGCCAAGAAAGAAGCCGGGGACGGCAACAGGCCAGGCCAGCCTTGAATTTAGGCTGGTCCCCATCATTGAGGCCCAACGGGCAGTAAGGAGCCTGACAGTGCTGGTCACCCCTTCCCCAACTACCGTAGTGTCTTGCGTGGGGACGACGGAGACACTGTCCGCCCCACTAACCAGGGGTGTCTGCAGTGGGGATAAAAGCTTCTGCTGGGATTGAAGATGCCGACGCTTCTGTAAATTCACTCCGTTCTCTGGATTTCCTGCGTTTGTTCATGGGACTGAAACTCAGCATCGCTCACGGATTCTCTACACTTTCCCACCCTCTTTAAAAAGTTGCTGTCGCTGGCATCGGGGGGAAGCGGGAGCAGCAGGGTGCTGGGATGGGGCCCCAGGCTGAGCTGGGCCCTGGGTGGAAGGTGGGCTTAGCTTTTATTTCTTGCTTTGAAATAATAAAGTAGAATTTACGTTCTCAAACTCCCAGAGTCCTTTGCCACGGATAATGAATAAAAATGGTCTTTAAGGGACACAGCCCTGAGCCCCACGGACTGCAGATCAGGCAGCTGCCAACTCAGTGAGTTTTCAGGTTTGTCTCTAGGTGTGTAGGGAGAATCTCTTGGCTCAGAGGAAATCCCTTCCAGCAGTCATTTGCCAGGCGCTGGCCTCCTGCGGGGGGAGCGCCGATCAGCCTGGGGAGCGGCCGTGGGGACAAATGATTGGGCGAACAAAGAGGGCGATTTGAAGGGGGAGGCACAAATCCCGCCACTCTCTTTTTCCGACTCCAATGAAGTATGTCAGTGGAGGGGGGTGTTGCCCCTTTCCCTCCGTAAGCATCTGTGTTGTTAGCGCTTCCGGGCTCGCGGCACGCAAAAGTCCCTTGGCGGACGACCCTGGTTCATGGAGGGCTTGTACCCCAATGCCGTGTTTGGAGCACCGTTACTTTCTTCTTGGCGGCGGCAGGGTCCAACTAGGTTTCCAAAAATGGTGCCTGGAGGGTCTCTCTCCCACCGATAAGGTTTGTCATTGAGGGGTGTGCTGGCCCCCCAGAGCACAGCCCGACAGGGTGATGGCTGGAAAAAGGACCGTGCCTCCGCCCTGCCCCCTCCCACCCACCCTATTCCGCTAGTTGCCCCCCGCTGCTCTGACCCACATGTGCTCCCCACGCATTGTTCCACTATGTGTCACTGCGCCACTCAGACAGCGCCACCTGCTGGACCTGCTTGGGGCCGAGGGGGTGGAACCTGGACGCGCCCTCCAGAGCAGTTGAGAGGTGTTGCAGCGGCAATTTATGCCATGCCAGCCCAATGTCCAGCCCTGATGGAGGGTATCAGCAGGTGGGCAAGGAGGGAGCCCGGCATTTGAGTGAGACAACACAAGGGCTAAAGGAAGCCTGGGGGTGGGACAACGGGCAAGGACACCAAGTAGGGGGAGTGTCCCCTCTCCTTTGCTCTGGATCATCACCCTTACTCAGAGGACCGGGCTAGGAGACTGTCCGCGGTGGGGAGGGGGGGCTGCCCACACCGTGGGGTAGTAGCCACCATTGGCGTTGTCAGATGGTAGACGAGGGGGGTAACCCAAGCAGGTTTGGTCACCAGCAGTGGCAGTGCCGGTGCTGACCTGGGTGGGGAGAGTGTTTCCCCTTCTTGCCAGGCCAAGGGGCAGCCCCTCAGGACACAGCAGAGGACACGGCTCGAGCCTGCCCTGATGAGGCACCTGCCTGGCAGAGATACCAGCAGGGACAACACAAAGGACCCCTTGGGACTCACTTCCTCACTGTCATGGGCGACGGGAGAAGTTTCCCCTTGGGTAGGCTAGGCCCCTGCCCTGCCTCTTCCGGCCAACGCCCTCCCTCTTCCCACCGAGGCCTCACTCCCACTCACTGCTCTCTGCCCCCCTCTCTGGGGGTGGGAGGAATGAGAGTTCGGTCGAGGCCATGGAGTGGGGGGCTGAGAGCTCGGCCCCGGCCAGAGTCGAGTTCTCAGCCCCGGCCGGGACCACGGAAGAGCTCTTGGCCATGGCCGGAGCTCCAAACCCAGAGCCTCTCCCTTGTTCTGCCCTTTCCCCCTGTGGCCCCGCCCATGGCCCCAACCCATTCCACTGCTCCCCTGAGGCCCTGCCCCCCCATTTCCATTGTCTCCCCCCACTGGCCCTGAGACTGAGCTCCTGCCCCGGGACCGTGGCGGAGGGAGACTTTTTTGGGGCCCACAAATTGGCTTGGGACCCTGGGCATGGGCCCCATGAGCCTGTGCAGTAATTCACCACTGCTTCCCCCTCCCCCCAGCTGGGTGCAATCACCGCAGAAGAGGACTTCCTGATGGGGCCCTTCCCCTTTTTGCTTTCCTTGGCCATTTCTGCTGGCAGCAGAGGTCTCACTGGTGGCGGTAGCGTCAGCAATAGAGTCCTTACCTGGGCCAGCAGCTGGGAATGAGCGACAGGGGATGGATCACTTGATGAGTCCCTGTTCTGTTCATTCCCTCTGGGGCACCTGGCACTGGCCACTGTCGGAAGTCAGGCTACTGGGCTGGCTGGACCATTGGTCTGACCCAGTATGGCCACTCTTATGCTGCCACCGGTGTTGCAATAGGACCAGCGATGGTGGTGGTGACCACAGGGGAGAAAGCTGAGGGGTGCTGGGTGTTCCCCTCCCTCCGTCGCCTCCCCTTTCCCCATGAATGAAGCTGCTGGAGTGGAGGTGGGTCAGAGTCCACCACCAGGTGGATGGACCATCCATTGGTGGATAAAGGAGCAGGGCCAGGGAAAGTAGCCTAACGAATCCACCCCACTATCAGGTGATTGATAGATTCCAAAGCCAGAAGCAACCTTTTTGACCACCCAGCCTGACCTCCTGCATAGCACAGGCCAGAGACCTGCCCCAAAACAATTCCTAGGGCTGTCCTGTTAGAAAAACATCCAGTCTTGCTTTCAAACTGGCGAATCCACCATCCCCCATGGTAAATTCTTCCAAAGTTTAGATAATTTCACCATTATAAATGTGTGCCTTATCTCCAGTCTGATGGGAGAGGGAAATGCAACAGAAGGGGATCGGCACCTCTGGTTGCACTGTGGGAATGTGTGAAAGAAGGGGGGGGACATGAGAGGGGATCAACTGAAAGGGTCGGGGCTAGAACACCAGCGTGAGCTCACAAGCCAGATAAGACATGGACGGAAAGCCGGGAACTGCACAGGACTGTGGGAAAGACACTGGAGAACTGTGGGGAAGCGTGGGAGGGGAGACTCAGCCCAAGGCGGCGGGGAGGGGACCAGGGGGTTCGCCCGGGCAGAGTGGGGCAGCAGATAGGAGGGCTGGGAGGATGAATGCAAAACCCAAACTGCTGGGGAAAATTTAAGGAGGGGGAAACAGCCAAACAAAGGGCAAGACTAGGGCAGGGTAAGGTTGGTAGCATGAGCCACAATCTCAGAGCGAAAGCAGGACCATAGATTGGAATGGTGGGAAGAGTGGAAAGGGAATTGCAGACTGCTGCCTCCCCCCCCACAAAATAATGTTTATCATTGAAATACCATCAATTTCAAGACAATAAATTGGGTGTAGGGAGGTCAAAATAACAGTGTTAGGTCTGCTACAATTAAGGTTTAGCCCAGCTTTCTGTTGAAAGATCTGCTAGTATATGGGCTCTAAAATCCACCCGGTTACTTGCCTTGCCTTGAAATTTGGTGTGCATCACGGGGGCACTGGGTAGCATTAGTGAGCCAAATTTGGGGTCATCT